CATTGGCCTTAAAATCTGGAGGAACATCATATTATTCATATTGTTTTAGCCACAGCTCCTGGTTCACAGCTCCTATAATCTTCATCATTTCTTCTAGCATCAGAATAATTCAAATATATTTTGTTAAGACATTTGACTTAGGTCCCTCAAACAGTTTCAAATGAACAAAGGGAGGGGATCAATGTTTTCAACAAGACCAAGCTTTTATGAACAAAGTGATTTTTAGAGGCATGACTGATAAACATTTAATGGGCGGAAGAAGCTTGAGGATATCAAGAAATAGCTTGGAAGGGTCTCATGGAGGGGGGAGGGCTGAAGGTTGAGCTTATTGCTCAATGATTGGTCAATGATTCAACTTGCCCTCCTTCGTGGAATCTCTATAAAAAGGCAAGTATCTGAGGTTGAGGGCTTCCAGAATGGTGAGGGCTGAGAGGGTTCCCCTGACCCCACAGGAATGAAGGATCCTATACTCAAGAACTTGTACACCGTGCCCTATACGCCTCTTACAGAGTTGCTTACTTGCGTCTTTAAGTTACTCTTTGCAGTAAGTTCATAAGTATGAAGAATATACGAAGACATAAAATGACCATTCCCAAACAGTGGCTCTTGATTCCTGGTGACCCGTGTAAGACTCGGTGTTTACGTTCATAATGTAGCCATAGCTATACCCTTAGCTGCCTTAGCTGTGAGTTTGTAAGTAATGACCGCCTTAACTCAAACAGGATTGTTACCAGGAATCTTTATCACAGTTTTTAAAAAAGACAACTGCTCGGTGACTGATGTCTAGTCAGAAGCAGCCACACCCTTCCTGTGGAGTCTGGGAAAGGTTTCCTGATGACTAGGAGAGAATGCTATCCGCTGCAATAGCGCAGAACGGTCTGCATTCCTGGAATGCAGTGACTTCTAAAGTGAACGCAGGGCCGTGTGATGGACTCAGAGGCAACTGAGGAATTCCAAACAGAGAGAGCGAATATAGAAACACGTCAATGTATTTATACTTTATGTTTATACAGCTTCATAAACCCTTCATCAAAAAGACGACCTCAAGCATGTGTCTTACGCTTAGTACAGTAGCTGCGATTCCATGTTTTTGGAACATTACTTTATGTTTGTGAATGTGTTGTTTGAAGTTATACAATGTGCACCACACACATGTCTGGTGCCTGTGAGGTCAGAAGACCATCCAGTCTCCTGAAACTGGAATTAAGGATGGTTGTGAATCACCATGTGACTGCTGAGAACTGAAACCAGGTCTTCTACAAAAGCAATAAGTGCTCTTAACTGCTTAGCTCCCTCTGCAGCCCCTATAAGTCCTAGTGGTTTAAGTTGGCCCTGCTGTCTCATTCTGTGTTAATTTTGGTGGGATATTTAGAACCCACAAAGCATCGGAAGCTCTGTTGTCAGCCTTAAGATGTTAAAGATAGAATACCGATAAATTCTGCAGTTACCTACCTTTGGAAAAGAAGTGTTTATGCCTATTGGCTCTTTCCGTTGTGTACTGATATGATTCTTCAACTATATGGAAGATACTAAAAAAAAAAAAAAAGATTTAAATTCAGTTATTCTAAATATATATGTTCATCTTTGGTAGCTCAAAAATAAAAATGGGCCAGGCAGTGGTGGCGCCCGCCTTTAATCCCAGTACTTGGGAGGCAGAGGCAGGTGGATTTCTGAGTTCGAGGCCAGCCTGGTCTACAGAGTGAGTTCCAGGACAGCCAGGGCTACACAGAGAAACCCTGTCACAAAAAAACCTAAAAAAAATAAATAAAAATAAAAAAATAAAGATGGATTTAAAGGCACAAGTTTTTACTTCCTGGCTACTGTTCCTAGGTTGGTTCCTGCTAATGTAGAAACATCTAAACAGAGATTGTCACAGTCCTGTTTGCTCCTCTTCAAATGTCTTCAGGTGTACCTGTCTAAAGTCATAAGGAAGGATTATTATATACGCTAGAAAATTGGTCAAGAAGAATATAACATGCCAGTGCATGTGTGTGTGTACACACTCGTCCAAGAGTGAATATTTAGTCTATTTAAGGAGGAAGACTGCAAATCAGAAAACCAACCAGAAAAAGATGTAAACTCCCAGAGGAAAATGATGAAGAAAAGCATAGACATCAGGAATTAGTAAATGAGTCCTCTACAGGGAGTGAATGTTGACAAGAACCAAAATAAAATAACAGAATAAGATGATTTGGATGCACTTGCTGCTGGACAAGGGAACTCTTGTTCGAAGAAGGTTCTCAAAGTTGCTTCCCCACTTGTAATTTTACAGTAGTGCCCTCTCTCTCTCTCTCTCTCTCTCTCTCTCTCTCTCTCTCTCTCTCTCGCCTTTAGAATATTGTTCTGCTTCTTCAACTGAAGTAGGCTTGTTTTCCCAGTACAGAGAGGTAAGGAAGGGGTGATGTTGACAAAGAGTAAGCTGAGAAGAAACTTCTGTCAAGACTCGAGGCAGTTGCTGCTGGGAATGAAGTAGACTGCTAGAAGCACACTGCTAAGAGAGAAGGAACTATGGGTAACGAGTCGGAAAGGTGTGCAGACTGAAAATACAGGGAATGAAAATGTCGTTAGAGAGGCAAGAAACCTGGGTGAGGAAACGGGCAACTCTGCGTTTTCCCCAAAGCATGCAGGCGCTTGATGTTCGGTGGGCGCTTGCTGACTTGTAAGGGAGATTCACGGCTGTGTGTAGCTGCTTTGTAAAGCCCGGGATGTCTGAATGGGCTAAAACTCCATTTTTCATTAAGAAATAGTGACAAGCATGTTTTCTAAAAGAATGCAAGTAATTTCCACTTGTTTCAAGTTTTCTACAGTCTCTCTACATAAGTCTTAGACGTAAGTAGTCAAGAACGTCTTTATCTACTCTGTAGTATCCACTCTGTAAGGGGGGGGGGATATATGTCTTATTTCTCCCAGTGATTTGAAATGTGATGTAATGATCCGTGCAAGATAGTTATTGACAACCACCCTGATTACGCCACGTAAGACTTGTGAGTCCTTATTCATGATCAGATCAAGAGAAGGCTCACAGCTCTTGAAAGTTTCGTGGTGCCCAAGCTCAGGGATTATGGCATTTTTAAAAGGCAAAACTCACAAAGATACATCAAAGTTAGATGATGATCGGAGAACCTCACAATGTTCCTTCCTGCCAGAGCATAGAAGTCATTTTAGACACAACTCGCCAACTATTTTGCTTAATACATCTGGACCATAATCCAGGCATGGAAATCTCAACTGTGTCCCCAAGGCAGACATGGCAATTGTGGGGTCAGGGGTAGAGAGCTAAGAACTATCTTAAAAAAAACAGTAAAAGGAATCGAAACAGGACTGCCTTGTCTTAATTACTTCAGTAGGGTCCTGATTTTTGTTGAGCACCTCCTGTAAAAGGAGCTGCGAAGTGTCGCTATTATTACCTATGTAACGCTAAGTACGTTTGCGTTTCGAATGGAGTTATTTCTAGGGCCTACGTTTAGACACATTTCTTCAGGGTATAGGACAGTTTCTAATATGCTTGCTGTTAATGTGGAAAACAGCGCGGCTGCTTTGAAAGGTGTAGGAAAGAGCTGGTCATACTGGAGTGTTTCCCAGTGAACTGAATTGATAGTTGCTTTTCTTCTCTCAGCTGGGCATGACATGCCCTTCCGCAGCATGGTCAGCGGTGAAATTGCTTGCAGGGGCTAGAGCACATGGGTGATGGTTTAGTTTGTTGTAGGTTCACAGTATTTGCCTAAGATTTAGGGATCACACAGACCGGTGCTAGAGAAATGGGGAAGTGGATGGGGAGATGGAGCTCCTGTTGATGGGCGGGCTCTTCGCCAGTCTTTTCTCTCTGGCTGATGTCAAGGGGATATACACTGTGACAAATGAGTGTTTTGAGGTGAGAAGGACTAAAGCCCTCTAATAAAAGGCTTCAGGAAAGAGTGTGGGCGACCCAGGGAAATGTGTTCAGGTCAAGTTTAAGCCTGGGAAAAAAGAGGCCCTGGAGAAAGATAGGAAGGAAGATAGAGAGGGGGGCGCTGGGTGTGCAGAGGGGAAGGGGGGGGCTGAAAAGAGAGAAGGCTTGGGCAATGTTTGACGGTTTGACAACAGGGCTGAGGACCACCGAGAAGGAAAAAGTGAAAGTTGAGGAGGAGGAGGAGAAAGCAGGACCCCGCAGCCCTGGAAAGGACCCTTGGCTGGGGTGGTGGCAGCGGAGGCAGGAGGGGGTGGCAGCTTGGCTGGCCTCAGGCCCCCTTGGCAGCTTCAGGCGTTGGCTCCTCAGGGCTCCCTCCCTCTCCGGAGCATTGTTCCTTTGCCGGGAGACAAGGAAATTGCCTTTTGATTGCGGAAGTCCCGGACGGGGCTTGGGGGCGAGGCAGCGCGGGTCAGAATGGCAGCGTGGGAAGGGCCTCGCGCCGCGGGTCCCCGCCGCCTGTCGTGTCCGCAGCCCGCCCCGGGCGGCAGCAGAAGCAGCGGCGGCCACTGCGCTTGAGCATCGCTAGCCCGAGGGTAGCGCGGCGCTGCGCCCGCGGGGCGCGCTGAGCGCGCAACAAGTGGTACCCGAGGTGCTCTGGCTGGCCTCCCAGCGAGATGCTGAGCCATGGAGCGCTACTAGCCTTGTGGATCACGTTGAGCGCCCTGCAGGTAAGCAGAGAGAAGGGACTGGAGATGATGCTCCACCCCCGCCAAGAACCGAATCTATCCTGTTACCAGCCTCCCGAGCTGAGCTGCTAGGGGGGAAGGAATAGAAATCTCTTGCTCCTATCCTATCTGGGAGAGCTATCCTCTCCAGAAACTCTACCATTTACCAAACTGACAGCTCGCCCTGCTGTCAAGAAAGCAACCTTCTGTCTGCAGCTGCTCCCGGGGAAGTTGGACAAGTAGGGTGAAAGTCTCCTGCCAGCCACTTGACCCGTGGGCTCTTTGCTGGGCTGGAGGATGGACAGGTGACTTGGGGAGGTTGCTGCAGACGTCTCTAGGCCGTGCAGACTGTGGACTTAATCTGTGCTCTCTGATTCTTTTTACAGACTGGAGTGGCAGAGCAGGTGAAATGTAACTTCACATTGTTGGAGTCCAAGGTCTCTAGCTTGTCAGCGTCTATCCAGTGGAAGACTTTCGGCTCACCCTGTAACTTTAGCCTCATCTACAGCAGTGACACCTCAGGGCCCATGTGGTGCCATCCCATTCGGATAGACAACTTTACATATGGATGTGACCCCAAGGATTTACAAGCAGGGACCGTCTATAACTTCAGGATTGTTTCTCTGGACGGAGAAGAGAGAACTCTGGTCTTACAGACAGGTAAAGAGTTAACAGGTGTAATGGATGGCCAAGCCACTTCTAAGTTGAGCCTTGCCTTTTCCTACCGGAGCTTTTCTTTGAACTGTGGGCATTTAAAAAGAAAATATATATTTATTTATATATTTTATATATTATATATCATATATAGATTTAGAGAGAGAGATACCTGTGATGATATTGGACCATGACTTCTAGTTGGCTGAGATCTGGTCAGTGTAGCTTGCTTGACTCTTAAAGGCTCCCTAAGTGCTCTGAACAGCAGCTAACTAAACAGCACCTGGAAAGGGAGAAAAAGAAGTTTTGGGGGTTTCAGGGGGTACAGAGAGAGAGGGGCTGTAGAGGGAATTTTTTTAATTCATGTAGTTTGGGCTTCCATCTCATTAAATTGCCAAACATCAGATCATCTTAAGTAACTGTTTGAGACTAAAGTTGTGATGATTTAAGGATATGCCTGGTTATACATATAAGGCAAGAACCAGGACATAAAATTGTCAGGAATAAGATGATACTATTCATAGGGAAAGTTGGAGAAGTCCCTTGAAATGAGGGCGCAAAGGTGACTTTGTATTTCTTGAATTACTAAACAGTAGAGAAAATCCTTTGATCGCTCTGAACTTCAGGTCAGTGATTTCCCAGCTGCTCCATCCATGTGTGGATGCTAAGAGTCTGTGCCCCATAACATACACATGCCATCTTCTAACCTGTGAAAGAGAGAGCTTCAGGCCCTCCCTACTTTTTCCCACCTGCAGGGACTATTACAAGCATTTCTCTCACTGGCTCCTCACCTCATGAGGGTACTAAGTAGCAAATTCTCGAATGACGTAGCCTTTACCAACTCTGTTCCTTCAGCCAGAAGGACAAACCAAAGAGAAAAATTCTGAAAGCTACACTGAGAAACGGGTTATCTTTATGATTCTTTCCCATTTCTACCAGAACAAAGGTGATTTCTTTGGCCATGGCTCTTTGAAGACTAACCTTCAGAAGGGCAATGCAAGCGGGGTCAGGAAATTTCAGTGAGTCCTTGAAATGAAATATTAATTTTTTTTAAAGTCACAACGCCCACTGACGTGTTTTGACTTATTGCAGATGAAATATAGAGGTGATTTCTGAGGACTAAAGGAACCTTAATTTGAAAAGATAAGCTACATGTTAAGAATGTTCTTGTATTTATATGGAACCAGAGAGAGAAAAATCAGATGGTTTTCTGGGAGTTGCAGCAGCTGTATTTTCAGTCATTGCTTTGCTGGGGTTTTTTTGGAAATTGAAGATAGTTCCGTGGATACTCACATTACTAGAGCTGTGGGATGCTGGACCTCGGACTTCCAGATACAGTGGTTGCACTGGAAAGGGTCTAAATACACAACAGTGTGTATTTAGTGGAGCAGAGAGATTGATTTTTTTTTTTTAAGAAGCTGCATTTTCAGAAGCTTCTGGGAAAACCTTAATCCTTAAGGAGCTTGCAGACAGTTGTTTAACCCAAGAGTTTGGTTTCTGGACAAAAGATCATGAGCAAAGGTTCACTGTAGATGTTTGCAGCATAAAACAAGCCTTAAGTTATCACACAGGGAGATGCTTCAAGTCCAGAGGTTGTTGGTGAGGCATAAGAAATATTCATGTTATATTGATGGTGTTGTTTTAGCATGCAAAGGACAGACCCCAGGACCTGCTTCATACTAGGCAAGCACGGTACAAGTGATGTAACATCCCCGGGCTCATTATTTTTCTTAAGGAGGTCGTTTTCACCACACATTTCCTGAGCTTCAGGATAAAATGTAGATGATGAAAACTACAAATGGTGTTTTCCTAATGGTCATTTCCCCGTGCTCGTCTGTGTGACAGGCGTACTCTTTCTCAGAATTCTCCTTGTCTTTAAGATAAAGATTTCATTTAAATACAAAATTTTGGATTAAGATTTTTAAATATTGTTTCGGGGATGATTTTCAGTTGTTTATTTATATGTAGTATTTTCTAGGTCTTAAAGACATGTGTTTATTTTGTTAAGGGGAAAAAGAGAACTATTATCCCTCTATATTGATCGCTAAGCTACAGTGATGAGGTTCATAAATCATATTTTACTATTACTAGAGCAGTGCCAACTGGCACAGTATCAACTCAGACAAAGCTTCAAACAAACAAAAGACATCATTCAAAACGTTAGCTCTTTCTTTGCTGCCTTTTACCCGTCTTATTGATCTCGTATGAATCATAACAAAAGCAAGACTTACTCATCAGCTGACATCGGGCTGTTGCTTACATGGTTGGGAGTGATTTTTGGTGATGGATTTTACCGACAGTCCAGAATAGTTGATTATTTTGCCTTATGTAGATCTGGACTTAGGAATTAAAAAAAATCAAATAACTAGAATCTTAGCAATAATAAACATTCCATTCCAGATTTCAAATCTGACCTGAAAAATGTGAATTTAAATTTAGGTTAGCAAGTATTCACTATTCAGGATAGCAAAGGGAACATCCCTGGGGAGACGGATGGGTTTATAAAATCCATGGCCCCTGTCTTTGTAGTCTTGAACAGGCATTCGAGGTTATACTGGCAATAGCACACAGCCTTGCACAACACCCCTGAATGAGGACTTTGTCCTGCCCCATGAGTACCAGGCTGTCATACCCACAGGGAAGAGAGTGGGCTATTCTCAAGTGTATCTGCTCATTAGCTGACACTGCAAGAAGAATGCTGTGAATGTCAAGTTGTGTCGTCGTGAATTTACCAGGAAAAAAAACCACAATAGCCATACCAAATGAATAAGTGGGCATGCTTCAAAGACTGTAACCTCAGATTCTAAAGCAGAGCTGGCAAAGCCATAGCCTCTGGCAACCTGTAGGTGTTTAAATAATAACTAGACCCTGTTTGGTTTCTGTAATATTTGTGAAAATTTTGGTTCATTTCACCAGCATTAAGATGTTAAATTCGCTGAGCACATCTTTGATCCCGCACTTGGGAATCAGAGGCAGTTGAATCTCTTGTGAGTTTGAGCCTTAGCCTGGTTTACGTATCAAGTTTTAGGTCAGCCAGAGCTACATAGGGAGACACCGTCAAAAAGAAAATTATATATATATGGAAGAGGGCCTACATCTTTAGTTCAGTTTAAGTTTCAGGTTTACAGAAACGTTATGACAATGGATAGCACACAGATATCTCATATTTCCTTATCATGACTGTGTTTGTGGCAGTGAGTGAGCCGGTATTATCGTGATTAGCTCGTCCATAATAGAGTTTCATTCTCTTTGTTTTTACCCATCTCCCTTCTCTGCCCCAGAATCCTAATTGGGGGGTCCCTATATTACATTCCTTGTTGCTGATAATCCAGACAGCTTTTGAGTATTTGATACCTCTCTCCCTCTCCCTCCTTCTCCCCCTTTTCCCTCCCCACCCTCTCCTCCCTTTCCCCTCCCACTCTCCTTCCTCTCCCCTTCTACTCCTCCCTCTTCCCTCCCCAGGCAAACCCCCCACCACTCCCCTCTCTACTTACCCCTCTCCCCATCCTAATACCGAACCTCCCCCCCCCCCTCCCAGATTTGCTCTATAGCCCAAGGCTGACGCTTTTCTTAGGCTTAGCCTAGGGCTCCAGGTTTTGGGTTTTCAGGAGAAAGACCTTGTACAGAGGTCAAGTTCTCAGCAGGTCACACTGAGGCTTTTCCTGTGAACGTGACTTGTCACTTTGGGTGTTGAACTGTTGTTGGCTGAGGTAGTGACCAGTTTCTGATACATTATCTCATCCTCTTGCGCCCAGGGAACTAGAGGTGGGAGATTTACCTGGGGAGTGAATACTCACAGGTGGTGTTCATCTTGTTAATCTCAGCTACTTATTAATCTTTCTAGGAAAAAAAAATGTCTGAAAATCCCCGCCCTCAAATGATTTTAATTATCTTAGCATGGTGAATTTCTCAGTCGGTAAGAAAAACATTTAGGCACTTCAATTTTGAAGATACTGCAGCAGCTATTATTTGCATTCCAAAATGCTATTTATTATGCGGGATTGACTAAGGCTGCCACACCAAAACTTGAGTGATCTAAAACCAAAATTGATGTCCCACCCCCCCACCATCCTTGTGGCTAGGATTCCAAAGTCAAAATGTCTACAGGTTTTTTTGACCGTGTAGGCTTTTTCCTTAGTGTGACAGACCTGTTCATCCATGCATGACTGTGTCCCTCTCCTCTCCTCTCCTCTCCTCTCCTCTCCTCTCCTCTCCTCGCCTCTCCTCTCCTCTCCTCTCCTCTCCTCTCCTCTCTTCTCCTCTCCAGTTCCCTCTCCTTTCCTTTCTCCTCCACTCCCCTCCAGCCCCCCTCTCCTCTCCCCTCCCCTTTCTTCTTTCCTGTCTTCTTCTCTCTCCTCCCCTTCTTTCCCCTCCCCTCTCCTCTCCCCTCCCCTTCCCTTCTCTTCTCTGGTTTTCTCTTCTTCAAAGGACCCTAATCCTATTAGATCCAACCTAACGGCCCCAGTTGAACTTATTCACCTCCTTAAAGACCACACCTCTCTCAAACACAGCCTTATTCCAGGGCTCCTAGGGCTTCCAGCTTCAACCTACAAATGAACTATAACTTTAAATACAATAAATTATTTCTGAAAACTATCTGTAACTTTCTACCATCAAAATCTTTGGCACAGATTGTCATTTAAAAAAAAAACAACTTCCTGGTTTCTACGCTCTGTGAAATGAACATGAACTTAGAAATAATAGAGCCAGGGACTCAAAGTGCAGCAAAGCAACTTGGGAGCCGTTGGCATCATCCATTCGCAGTAGGATTTGGAGACCATGCCTTCTTATATGTGGTTAAATCTATAAGGCCTGGAACTATTTATTGTGATTTACAGGAAGAAAGTTTTTTTTTTCTTTTCTTTTCTTTTTTTTTTTGGTTGGTTGGTTGGTTGATTGATTCCTTTTCTTCTTCTTCTCTTTTCTTTCTTTCTTTCTTTCTTTCTTTCTTTCTTTCTTTCTTTTTGTACTTTTGTGCTACAAAACTTTTCTTATTTAGTACATGA